GTAACAAGGAAATCAATAGATATATTAATAATAACCCAGAAGTTAACTTAATCAAGACAAAAGATTTAAATGCTACAATTTATATAAATGGTTATGTATTTTGTAAGATTAAAGGTAAACAAACATTAATAAAAAAACAAGTTAGAATTAATAAAAATGATCTTGATAATAAAGTCAAAAATATAGAAAGCGAAAAGCAAGAACAATTAGAATTATTACTTAATAAAATAGAAGAATTAGAAAACAATCAAAATAATATATGAGATGGAATTATTAATAAGATGCTTCCAATATTAGAACATTATATTACTGTTAATAATTTAGATGTTAGTAAATAATTTGAGAATTAATATTTATAAATAGATACTTTTATTTTTAACAATTATAAATTCTGGGATATCGATATCTTCATCTGTATTTAAATTATATAATAATTTTACGGACCTACGGTCCTCAGGTTCGAAGAACCGTAAAGGACAAAGCTCGATATACTTTCTAAACGCTTCATTCATATACTGTTCCGTCATTTTAATAAAGATAAAAAATTACATTAATATAAATTTACTATATATAAATTTTACACCGAACGGATACTGGAGCTTTGTTCCCGCTTCGCGTTGTGTCTCCGAAGAATCGAAACGAATGTGAGATTCTAGAGACATCAAAGATGTCGATATTTTGGAAAAATTCATATTCGCGTCCCTCGCTATTTAAATAAAGTATTATAAAATATAGATAAAATGAGCTCCCCCCTAAATCCACAGAATTTATATACTACTACCCATAAATAATTTCTATGTAAAAAATAAAACTTAATTTGTTGTTTTTATTATTTTATAATTTATCGATTTAACTAAATAATTCTAACTGTTTTTGTGTAATAACTACACATATGAATAATATTATAACGAAAAAAATACAGATGCAAGAAAAAGGGTGTTGTTAAGAATATTTAAAAGGTATTTTTATATATATGTATATATATTTTTAATAATTATAAATTGTTAGCTGTTTAACAAGTAAATTAACAGGAAGCCAGCGATAGTTTAAATTGTTTTTCTATAAAAAGTGGTTATCAAAAAAATAAAAAAATTTAAAAAATTCAATTTTATAAAAAAACAGAAAAACCACAAAAATATTTTTCTCATCTTCAAAATCGAAATTGACTGTACCTTGTCATCATGATATAAAATGAACTGATGTCGGAGATGTGCATTTTATTATGAGTAAGTTGAGGGAATGTGTAAATCAAACAAGCAACAATCTTAATTATCAGGTTTGTTTATTTGAAAAGTTGAAAGCGAATAATTAATCATTAGGCATATATTGATAAACAACGTGTAATATGACGTTATATAACAAATATGACATTTTGTTATGAAAGATGTTTGTGTTCAAATTAACCAAACGTTTTGTGTTAATTATTGTTTTTATTGTCATTTTTACTGTTGTAGGGTTCATTAAAAAACACGAGTATACGTCCTTATTATTGTTAAAAGTTTAAAATGTCAACATTATTAATTTTTGTTTAATGCCTTATAAAATATTATAAAACAAATTAGTTAATAAACTGTAGTTCAAAAGTCTGTACCGCCTTATTTTTAGAACTTCCTAAAGTCTTGTTTTTTTATATTTCCTAAAAAACAAAAAAAACAAAAAATCGAAAGTACAGATTTAATTTTG